AAGGGTTTTCTCTGGGGTAATCTGGACAGTGCAACGGAACACATACAGTATCCATACCTCCAAGGGTTTTCTCTGGGGTAATCTGGACAGTGCAACGGAACACATACAGTATCCATACAGTATCTCCAGGGACTGATTCTACTAGAAATAGGCAGAGCGTCTGGGTGATTGTTTATAGCGCAGAAGAATCGTTGGATGAGTTTTATTGACGTGGTAGTTGGTCCCCTCAGTATGGAAACTTTCAGACGGCCACCGAGTAAGGGCCGCCGTGGTGTAGCGGCTAGATCTCGCCAGCAGACTGGTAGGTCGTGGGTTCGGGTCCTGGCGGACATGACCTTTTTCTCTTCAAAATCGACCTTGGCTCACAGGTTAACCCAGTCTCGAGTGGGTACAAAGTAAAGTCCTGGGAAATAAAGACGACCGTCGTGATGCTGACCACATGACCCACTGAGTGTCGATTGGTCTATAAAATATAGGTCTAGCCTTGTATGCTAAATGTGCTTGAAGGCGTGGAGAAGGGCCCTTCAATTGTAGCATACTGATGAAGAGGTCAGAGCACGGGAGATGGCTTCTTGATTCACTCTGTGATTCTGCAATTCGTGGTTGTTTATTTTGTTTTTTCTTTTGACAAATGCCAAGATATTCGCAAGAATTGTTTTGACAACTACTTCCTCCAAGCTCTCCTAAATTTATCCGTTCCCGTGCCCAGATTAACTGCCATTCATCAGAACATGGTCGACATATTTCTAAATTCTGTCACACATTTCATAGCAGATCAGGCACAAGACCATAAATGCATCAATTTATGTCTGTAACAATTTATTTAATTAGCTGCTTTATACTAAAGGCTGCAATACAGAGTGAAGTTAAACGATGAATAATAATGGATACATGGTGTTTTTAAACACAACAGTTAAAAGAAAATAACTATAAACATATCTAAATGTAAACAGTAATGCCATATGTTCGAGCCGTCCCTTCTGTCCACGGGCTTGCGAGGAAAACATGTCACTTTGTGCTTCGGTCAGCGCTCTCTGATCTGTTCTGTTTGCTGTCATCTATGACATTCATGATGCCCGGCTCTCTAGCGTAGTTGGCTAAACCGGATTGCGCGGAGACCGGGTGACGAACTCCTTGTGGTCCGGGTTCAATCCTAGGGGTAGGCAGGAAAGCCAAATTTCTCCCAGATTTACATTATTTGCAATGGAATCAAGGCCGAAAGGTTGCGATATCCGTAATACCGAGCCTAAGGGTTAACAACTCATGGCTTCTGGAGACTAAAACAAACAAACAAACAAACATTCATGATAATTTATAATGCGTCAACATTTAGACTGGTTTAACCATCAGAGTCGCTGGAGAAACACCATAATGGTATGAGGTGCAAAGAGGAGTGAAACGGGGTGAATTCTCTCACACCTGCAGAAACGTAAACAGAAGCATACCAAAATGGCCAGATCGGAATAGTCCTGATCCATTTATGCGAGGGAAAGTCAATAAGTCAGTCAAAAATAATTGGATGAACAACAAGAAAGTAAAGATGATAGTCATTGGATACGCGTTAGAACAGTCGATAGGAGGCTTGCTTTCAAACTCAGCTGCGACTCGCTGCAGCCAGGGTCGGTGTTCAAAACTGGGTGGTTTCCGGGGTTCACATAGCCGCTGGGAAATGGGTACCAGAGTTGACATTCTGGGGTGAATGGAGGAACGTCGCTGTAGCTACGGAGTTACGTGCAGACGGCGACACAGGCGGACAGCTTCTTATCAGCTATTCTTACTTGTGGCAGAACACTTATGGTTTATAACCGTGTGCAATGACGCTGGTTCACATCTCCCGACTTTACCTTTCTACTTTATCAGTCCTCACAAACCTGCTGTATAGAACTGTATGCTTTATTTTCTAAACCACATTTTCAGTTGTCTGGGTATCCACATTGAGCACTTTCTTAAATTACAATCGATCATGCATTATGTTGTATGCTGAACCATGTGAGCACCCTATTGCAGCTGCTACAGAGTCAACCGTTATTTGGCTGTCACCTCTAATCATCTCCTCCACCAGTTGCACGGATGCGTCTGTGGCAATCTCAACAGGACGAGCATCAACAATTTTTGAGCGTCCTTGAGAAGTTTTTTTTTTTTACTCAGCTATGCACCGCTTTATACAAGACATCGAGATGCATACGATGGACTCCATTCACCATACTTGAGAACCTTGATTTTGCAGATGATATAGCACTCCTATCTCATAAACATGAACAAAAACAAGAAGAAAAAAAGTAACAAACTTCACAGCATAGCAGAAATGGTGGGACTGAGAATAAATGCAAGGAAAACTAAGATCCTGACAAACAGTCCAAACCAACAACCAATGACCATAAATAACAAAATACTTGAAAATGTAGAGCGTTTCACACATTTTGGTAGTGTGGTGTCCCAACTGGGAGGGACACAAAAAGACATACAGTTACGCTTGAACAAATCTAAAGCTGCTATTGGCAGGATGAGGCAAATCTGGAAGTCCAACAGTTACTGCAGAGGAACGAAACTTCGACTCTACAAGAGCATTATTTTGCCAGTTCTTTATGGAGCAGGTGCTAGAGAATAACCGAAAAGGATGCACACAAGCAATCCACCTTCCACCACACATGTCTACGTAGAATTATCAAAAATTTCTGGCCAAATACAATCTCAAACACTAAACTACTTCAAGTCACAAACCAAGAAATTCTAGACAGTATAATAACCAAGAGAAGATGAAAATGGCTTGTCCACGTTATGAGAATGTATCCTGATATACCTGCGAAAACAGCTCTCACATGGACACAAGCGGGAAAGAGAAAGAAGAGGTGCCCAAAAACAAAATGGAGACGAACTATGGGGAGTGACCTGAATGCGGCATCTCTGACATGGAAAACTGCACTGAAGATTGCATAGAACAGGAAAGCATGGAAATTCATCTCTGATGCCTCATGTGCCACTAGGCATAAATAGAATTGATGATAATGTTGCACCACTTTATGGTATAAACATTTGTCAGCATAAACAGGAAGCATTTCCTTATGAATGTCCTTTGCAGGCAGCCCTTTTGCCCGTCCCTCCATAACGCACAACAGTACGTTGTTCTTTGAGAGTACACTCCGTAAGTACAGTCGCTATTTTGTTTGTGTGGGTTGCGAATGCGCATGCAACACCTAACGCCATCCAACGAACGGAGACATCAAGTTCGATGTTGCTGTCACCTAATGACGCCTTTAGAAATCACCAGCTACATTTTACTGCCATCCCATAACCATTTATGTCTTACCTATTGACTTCCCCTCGTAACTGGCGCCAACCCAGTTGAGAAACTTCGCTAACTATACGACAGATTCCTCTGTTCTTACAGTGTAAACCGACTAGATCATCTAACCCTGTCTGTACAAAAAGGCAGTTAAGATGAAAACCGTTTCACAGATTTAGTAAATAAAAAAATGTCCATTGACAAAAATGCGTGTTCCCCATCTACCCACCCCATCCCCCCCCCCCTTTTTTTTTTTCCACACCCCTCTCCAACATGAATAAATTATTAAATGAAAAAACAATAGGAATTATCACCAATTTTCGATATCCAGACTCCATAATCAACAATCGAAAATGTTCAACAGAAGTTAAACGGATGATGGACATTGCTAATTAAAGACTGAAACGCATTGAACAACACTGTTTCTGTTTTGCATGAAAATAAAATTGTGTATGTAAATCTTTGTCGGCTCTGTGGCTAAGTCGATGCGTACGCGTTGTAATGCCGGGGTGTCGGGTTCGATCCCAGCTGCGAGCAATGCACCTTGCGTTGGTTTCTACGACAGTGGTATTAGGGAGCCGACCGTCCACAAGCAATGGCAAACTACTGGACGTAAGTTTGCCTAGAGAAACCCCACAACAGCCAGGGGCTGCTGGGATCGGTTCTGCAACGTCCTGTAAAGGATACGCAACTAACCCATGTAAATCTCTACTCTTCATACACTCTTGAACAAGTTACCCAGTATAACATGCTTTGGAATACGCCCATATGGCATTCAGATGAGATGGCCAATTTACACACCGTGTTAAAAAAATGTATATATAACTCAAAAACAGCGTGAGTGATTATGAGGGCACATACGAATTTGTGGCGATGTTAGAAACTGAATGCTAGCTTCTTCTTCTTCTTCTTCTTCACTTCCTCTTTTACCGCTGTGGGTGTAGAGGGAGATATACGGTTCTGTTTCTAGCTCTTCTGGCCGCCTCCACCAAAGGCACATCGTGCTGTTGTAGAGTTTCTCTGATGTTATCCTTCCATATTGTTCTTGGTTTACCTCGTGCTCTACGTCCTTCTTCTCTTTCCATGTACGCTTTGTATGGCATGGTGTCACAAGGCATTCTCTCTAAGTGGGCAAACCATTTCACTTGCTGTCTTCGTATGTAATCCAGAATTGGTTCTGTGCCGACTTTTTCTCTTATGATCTCATTCCTGATCTTATCTCTTATGGTCACTCCTACAGCCCTTCTTAGACATCTCATTTCCGTGGTTACTAATACTAGCTTCAGTAATGGAAAATATTTAAAAAAAATGTCTGTCGACAGCTTTAGATAATTAATGTCTTTGTGATGCACAAGAGAAAGAGAAACAGACAGAGAGACAGACTGCCAGACTGACAAACAGAGAGAATGAGACATACAGACAAAGAGAGAGAAATGAGAGACAGAAAGACCTGACAAAGAGAGAGAGAAAATAAGAGAGAGAGAGAGAGAGAGAGAGAGAGAGAGAGAGAGAGAGAGAGAGAGAGAGAGAGAGAGAGAGAGAGATTTAGCGAGAGTTATGAAATGTCAAACATAAACAAAAAATCTTGCAGGCAACAATCAACAACACTCACATCACGTGAGAGTTAGCATTTCAACGTGATCAGACAGAGATTTACAACTCTCCTACGGGTTTTGTAAACTGACAAACCAATTAACATAAAAATAGTTAATCAAATTTAATGGGACTGTTCTAGGGATTGTTCCCGATTAATCTCTATTTTATATTTAGAGATCTTGTCTTTGTCACCCTTCTGCTGCTGCAGTTCATTCCGGTCTAAGGCTTCTCTCCGGAGAAAACTGTTGACTTTTTCAGACCCCCACATCCAAAGCCAGTTGGGCACCGCCTTTGCAATCCACAACTGAAAGATGAGCAAAGAGTTAACTGTCTTTATGTGGTTTCAACGCTTTCCTTACCGATGTAACTGGTATACCAGGCACAACTGAAAGATAAGCAAAGAGTTAACTGTCTTTATGTGATTTCAACACTTACCTTACCGATGTAACTGGTATACCAGGCACAACTGAAAGATGAGCAAAGAGTTAACAGTCTTTATGTGATTTCAACACTTACCTTACCGATGTAACTGGTATACCAGGCACAACTGAAAGATGAGCAAAGAGTTAACTGTCTTTATGTGGTTTCAACACTTACCGATGTAACTGGTATACCGAGCACAACTGAAAGATGAGCAATGAGTTAACTGTCTTTATGTGGTTTCAACACTTACCGATGTAACTCGTATACCAGACACAACTGAAAGATGAGAAATGAGTTAACTGTCTTTATATGGTTTCAACACTTACCGATGTAACTCGTATACCTGGCACAACTGAAAGATGAGCAATGAGTTAACTGTCTTTATGTGGTTTCAACACTTTCCTTATCGATTTACCTGGTATATAAGGCACTACTTAAACTGACCGAGGGCCGCTGTGGTGTGGTGGCTAGACACACGCCTGCGGATTCGAAAGTCGTGGTTTTCGGGTCCTTTTAAAAGTGTTTTAGCTCTCAGGTCGACCCAGACTTGAGTGAGTACTGGGAAGTAAAGGTGGTCTTCGTGATGCTGACCACATCACCCACCCATTTCTGACTGGCCTATAAAATATAGGTGTAACCCTATATGCTGAAAACGTCTGAAGACAGGGGAAAGGGTCGTTTACTTGACTGAAACTGATCAAACAAATTCTTTGCCCACATAGGACTGCAGGCAGGACTGTTATGGGTGACCTAATTATAACGTCTGTGTGGGTTGAAATGGGTATCTGTCTTGTTGGTCTGTGGTCCGTTTGGGATCTGGGAATTAGCTGCAAGTTGGTTTTTGTTATTAAATGACCTTGACTCCGGGTTGACCCAGGCTAAAATGTGTACGAGGTAAACTGGGAAATAAATGTGGACTGTGCGATGTTTTGACAGTGGTATCAAGAGCTGACCGTTGAGTTTTCATTCAAACAGCTGAAGTAAACTATATAATGAAATCACAAACAGTCAAGACATGCTGTGGTTGGTTCTGAAACGTCATGTAAAGGATACGCAACTAACTTAATTTATTTTTAAAAATAATAATAATAATAACAGACTGGGAAACAAAAAACAAGACATGAAGGAAGCAGGCACATTTGTGAAATAATTGTTTGCTTTGGGCTTAGTGGTCTCGAGGTTCAAACCTCGTTGAGGGCGAGGATTTTTGTCACGCAAACGTCTAGTAATTTTTCCCAGTCTCTAGGTAGTAAGACCGGACGACCGTGTGTATTGTTGCGCACGTAATCTACCCAAAGTATTTCCGGATCCTCGCTGGTGCGTCGGAGTTCAGGCACTGCGCTGAGATTCTTTAGACTCAGGCTTGGGTTACAAGTAGAACGGAGCACTTATAAGGCTACACCCGCGTGCCATGATGTTTATCCTTTGAATAAACAAACAAGAAACAGACAAACATTCTTTGCTTTATTATCCTATTAAAACAAGTCTTCATTGTCTCAATAAAACAGCATGTGAAACTTCCAATTTGCCCTTATTAGGTTTTCATTGTGAAAATCTCCCACTTTAACTGCATGTTTTCATATTCATATGCAGTAATGAGCTGAGATCAAGTAAGTAGGTTTTGCTTTACTGCTGGTATTTGCCACGGTATTATGTGTGTGTGGGGGGGGGGGGGTATTGTGCAGTCGACCCACAAAGTCTGTAGATTCTGATTTCTTTTTCTTTAGCTCATGGCATGGCAGAAAATGTTTATAATGGTGCTATAGAGTTTCTCTGATCTTAACTTTCCATATTATTCTTGGTGTACCTCTTGCTCTACGTCCCTTTCCTCTTTTGGTATATGCCTTGTATAATATAGCATTAGAAAGCATTTTCTCCAAATGGGCGAACCATTTGATTTGCTGTCTTTGTATGTAATTTATAATTGGTTTTATCTCGTATGACCTCATTCCTGATTGTATCTCTTCTAGTCACTCCTACAGTCTTTGTCAGACACCTCATTTCCATAGTTACTAATTTTCTTTTATATTCTGTCTGTGAGTGACCATGTCTGGCACTGCTAGCATAGGATGAGAATGAATATGCTTTGTATGAGATGTCTCTCACGAACGACCGAGATCTGTGGATGGGCACTGACCCCTATGTCAATAACCGCGAGACAACCAGTATTACCTGTAGAGTGTGGGGGAAATAGCCCGCAGTACAAAAAGACTGCCCCAGTGTTCCCACGGCACTCTTGGCATAGACTGCAGCAGAGGGCGCTATCATCCCTAGATGGGTGAGAATCTTACTGTAGTCCATCATGCTGGTTACAATAAAGAACGGAACCAAACATTGGAAGGTGATGCCTGAGTTCCGGTACTCGTAGGCCAGGCCTTGGATGAAGCAGTCCAGATACCGCTGTAGACAGAGCAACACAAGCAGGCTCGAAATGTTTCTGTGTACAGTGGAAGTAAATGTCATTTAAATGTGAACAAAATCTAAATCTATGTGATAATTTCTTGAGACTTCGGTTTATTTTTATTCATTTAGTCCCCTATTTAATCTCTAGATATACTCGTCTTATGTGTTATTCATACTCACAATGACTTTGCTGAGTCTTCGTCTTCTTCTTCCTCTTCTTCTTCTTCTTCTTCTTCTTCTTCTTCTTCTTCTTCTTCTTCTTCTTCTTCTTCTTCTTCTTCTTCTTCTTCTTCGTCTTCTTCTGCTGCTGCTGCTGCTACTACTGCTCCTCCTGCTGCTAATACCACAACTCCTACCGCTACTGCCACTACTACTACTACTTGAAGACACCTTAGGCGTTCATGGCATGGCAATAGCCAGTGGCAGCCAGCGTGAACTGGATCGCAGATTACTCCTCCCCCAAGGGGAAGTGATTAGTGATGTAAGAAATGGGACTGGCAACTTAATCTCGGAGAAAACTTTAAGATGCAAAATTTAATTACGTTCTATACACGAAGACCTGGCGTGAACTGCTTGGAGACCAATACTCCAGTGGAATCAGGTTGCAGAGAGAGAGAGATGTGAAGGAAGATTCTGGAGCTTTTGCCGTAACTACAACAAGTCTGACTATGGAGGTCATGACTGTGACATGGCTAGAGACACAGAATTTCACCGGGGTAAGCTTTCTCAGTAACTCGATGGGTATGCTCATGATAGAGAAGGGCTGGGTCCGAAGGCAGTGGTTGGTGGCTCTACAGCGTTCATGGCTGACAAGGATTAGTTTCATTTTTGTGCCAGGATATGTGGGGGTACAAGGAAATGAGTAAGCTGATAGGCTTACAGGTAAGGCTACTGTGAAATCCGTACAAGCCATGGACCTGGCTGATATACTGAGTGCTCTACGAGATTTAAGACGTTTGCTTGAACAAGTTGAGAACTGTGAATCTGCAACCATGGTCAGACTGAGAGAACAGCAAGTTAAACGGGGTGTCGCCAAACAAAAACACTACGCATGTAGCTAAAGAAGAAAAATAAACCAACACAGAACTGGTGCCTTCAACCGCTACACTCTGCGGGATTTACTGAGGAGGGGATCCGAGCACTTATGCACTAAATGGTTCGACGTGCAATTGGGTAATCTGTCGACTAACTAACTCCAGTGGAAACAGATAGGCAGCATGTCATATGCCCCATACGCAATTCTCGCAGAGAAATTTCGACAATTTCATTCTTTCTAGCTGCTAATAGGCCTATGTGTCGTATGTGGCTATACTGTATACGAAACCGACTCTAGAATAAACGATATAAACACTCTGCAAAAGATGTGTATATACGTAAAATACAATTTCATTTTATTGACAATGGCGGTACGCTTTTTCGTCCTTTGAGGCGAATAGCGCAAATTAGCTATTTTCGCTCACGTATAATGTGAAAGTTTCATCGGAATGGGGTCTGAACCGTGCAATGGAGTACATGCACGTGAGTTCAGACTTCCCTCAGGGTGTATTCGACGTCCGATGGCGACTATTTACCAATTTAAAACAACCCGTAGACGGGCAAGGAGAACGCGAACAGGCAAGCATGGTGGCGCCTGCAGGAAGCGACTGAAATGTGAAAGACTCAGTTTAAAGTATGTTCGTGTTCTCTACTGGAACTGCGCTTCGTTTAGTCAACGCCGACCCATTTTTGAGAAGCTCCTCTACAGCAACGACATTGTTGTCCTACAGGAAACACACCTCGGTGACGAGATCGTTAAAATTGCGGGCTTCCAATCCTTCTACAATAGACGGCACCTCGGACAGCTCATTCTTGTTCGTGACCACATACCGGTGTCTGAGGTGGACATGTCTAAGTGGAATAATGACGACTTACAAGTACACGCAGTCAGAGTGATGGGCCCGGCCCAGTTTGTGATTGTCAATGTGTACGCCTGCAATGGAAAGGTGGATACAGCGAAATGGCAGAGTTTGCTCCAGACGGAGGAAAAGAAAGTCATTTACTGCGGAGATTTCAACGCCAGAGGACACCAGTGGGGCAATGTAATCACTAATAAACAGGGAGAAGACCTGGAGGATGCTCTAGTGTCTGCCAATCTAGTATGCTTGAACGACGGAAAGGTTACCCGAATGGCAACACGACAAGGGGATTCTGACAGCGTAATTGACCTGGCCCTAGTGTCTCCCTCCATTGCATCAGGATGCAGGTGGAGCACACTGGAATACCACGACAGTGATCACTTTCCTTGCGTCGTCCTGGTAGAGAAGAGCAACAACAAAGGTCATGTAATCAATGTGCCTGCTTTTATATATGACCGTACAGGGCAAGATGCCATTAGCAAAATCCGACGACGTAAAACAAGAGTAGATCGCAGACGGCGGGAGAGATGGGCCCAGCCACCATGGTGGAATGAAGTAGTCAACATGGCGTGGCTAGAAAAAAGGAAAGCTGTCAAGGCATGGCAAAAGGCAAGGAAAATTGATCCGTCACTTTCTGAACGCCTGATCAGTCTGAAAGATGAGGTCAACAAGCAGACAGTGGCTTTCAAGGTAATTGCGAAGGAAGCTAAGACAGCGAAATGGAACGAATTCTGCAAGAGCGTTTGCTCCGAGGGATCTCTTGTGACATTCTGGCGCCTTCAACGGAGCATGCACGGCGCCGCACGACCTAGGGGTATCCCTGATTTTCAGGGTACAGACCTGATATGGCAGAGAACTGATGCTGATAAAGGAAAAACCCTTCTGGCGCGCTACTTGGAGCAAACTGACCAAAAAGACGAAGCTACAAGAATAGGGGTTAAGATGAAACTGTCGATGCTGTGCGAGAACACTGTGTTAGGCACTGATCTCACAATCACAGCAGATACCTTAAGAACTTGCCTCAAGAAATCGCGCAGCACTGCTCCAGGCCCTGACGGCATCCGATACAACGACATGCTGATGATGTCGAATGCTGATTTGAAAAGCGTGGCAAAGGAATTCAATATCAGCATCCAGAGTGGCCAGATACAAGAGGAATGGCTCCATAGTTATTTGTTCCCACTACCAAAGCCTAATAAAGACCACTCAAAGATCTGCGGCTATAGAATCATCTCGATGCAGAATACTGTTGGCAAACTTTTGGAAAAAATTGTCGCACAAAGATTGACCACCTACTTGGAACTACATGATAAGTTCCCACCAACACTTGGAGGGTACAGGTTAAATAAAGAGACATGGTTCAATGCTGCAGTTTTCGCCTACGATGTGTACGAGGGATTTCAGATTAAAGAAGAGACATGTGCGGCAGTGTTGGACTTAGAAGATGATTACAATAAAGTACCATACGATTATTTAATGCAATTACTGCTTAAACTAGAAGTTAATCCTATTCTGATCCGCTGGATTGCTGCGGTCCTGTTCCAGAGAAAGATTGTACTAAGATGTGGTAGCTGGTCCTCCGAACCGCAAATGATATGTCCAGGCTTGCCACAGGGATCACCGCTATCACCAGTCTTATTCAACGTTTACACGGTGATGATCACTGAGCAGCAGTTGAATGGAAAGGGAAGGACTTTGTCATTTGCTGATGACATTTTGATTTATCGACGAGGGCGTGATAGACAGGAGATCGCCAGCACTATGCACAAAGAACTCGATCGAATTGCCGCCTGGTGTGATGGTTCCAATGCCTATGTCAATCCTTCGAAGGCATCAGTGTCATGGTTCTCTTTGAACAATCACATTGTCAAGTCGGATTTACCAGAAGTGAAAATGCGTGATAATGCATTGATCAGAACCAACGTTTTGACGTTTCTCGGGGTGAGGTTCGATCGCAGCTTGTCATTCAGGGAACACGTTGACCATGTGATAACAAAAGCACGCAAAGGTCTATCTGCAATGAGGATTATGGCTGCTTCCAATATTGAGCAAAGACTACTAATACTTCTATTCTACGGTCTGGTCCTTTCCCCCCATTGAATACGCTCTGGCCATCCTCACTGTCAGTGCTACCCAGATTGAACGACTCGAAAAGGTGCAAAATGAAGCCATGCGCATTATTTTGGGATGTACTAGAGACACATCCTGTGGAGCAATGAGGTATCTACTTGACTTTCCAACAATGAACCAAAGGATCAGGATGTGGAGGGCTCGGGCATATCTCAAAATATGCGCTGATAAGAAACACCCACTGCATCAAGCGCTTTTTAGTGAAAAGGGCGACAGACTGAAGAGGGGAAAATCGTGGCTAGGTCGGGCAGAAGATGTCATTAGGCAAATATGCAGTCTAACCGACATCATACCTGGTGCAGAATGGATACCTGTGCCTCAGGCGTTTTATTTGTACATTTTCCTGTATTGTCACACTCAACAGGCGATGTAGAGAAGAGAATCCTGTTGCTGTTAATGCAGAGGTCAACGCTCTCATCGGTGAAAATTCAGACGAAGCAGATGCAATAATCTATACAGACGGATCCGTTATACGCCAAAGAAGAAGCGCATGGGCATTTACAGCACGCTCAGCGGGCAGAACAGTCAAAGAAGCCAACGGCGCCTTCTCCATGACAACCAGCAGCATGACGATGGAGGTGATGGCAGTGACACAAGCGCTTGCCTGGCTTGAAACACAAAAATACACCCGCGTGTGTATACTCAGTGATTCAATGAGTATGATCCGGAGGGTTCAGGCAGGTTCAGTGCGAAGACAATGGCTTGAATCATTACAGAAGTCCACTGTTCGTGGAGTCACCTTTATTTTTGTTCCGGGACACGCAGGCGTCGATGGAAATGAAAGAGCTGACAGGTTGACTGGATCCGCTATCACTACCGACGGTCAGCCTATGGATCATGCTGATATTATCAATGCCCTCGGAGAAATGGGAAGAATAGAGGACTTTGGTGGCAGTGAATCCACATCACTCGCCAGAATGGCAGACTTGGGAATTATGATCGGCACAGCAAAAAACGAGACGCACACCAGCTACGCCAGAAGACTTGTTAATCAACATAGAACTGGTACTATTAGCCATCGGACGTTGGGGTTCATACTGAGGGGAGGATCTGAGCACCTATGGACATGTCCGGAGTGCAATGAGGATAACCCAACTAACTAACTAACTAACTAACTAACAATTTCATTGTTGTTAGAGGCTATGTACCCAAAAGATGTGTTCATATGTGAAATACGTCATTGATGTTAGAGGCTATGTACCCAAAAAGATGTGTACATACGTAAAATACGATGTCATTGATGTTAGAGGCTATGTACCCAAAAGATGTGTACATACGTAAAATAGGATGACATTATTGTTAGAGGCTATGTGCCCAAAAAGATGTGTACATACGTAAAATACGATGTCATGATTGTTAGAGGTTATGTACTCAAAAGATGTGTACATAAGAAAAATACAATGTTATTGTTATTAGAGGCTATGTACCCAAAAGATGTGAACATACGTAAAATACAATGTCATTATTTTTAGAGGCTATGTACCCAAAAAGATGTGTACATAAGTAAAATACGATGTCATTATTGTTAGAGGCTATGTACCCAAAAGCTGTGTTCATATGTGAAATACAATGTCATTGATGTTAGAGGCTATGTACCAAAAAGATGTGTACATACGCAAAATACAATGTCATTGATGTTAGAGGCTATGTACCTAAAAGATGTGTGCATACGTAAAATACGATGTCATTATTGTTAGAGGCTATGTACCTAAAAAAAGATGTGTACATAAGTAAAATACGATATCATTGTTGTTAGAGGCTATGTACCCAAAAGATGTGGACTCTTAGGTTAAACTAGACTGAAATGAGTTTATGGACATCCCCTGGGTAGTTTATAATGTTTGCCCCCACAAGTTTGGACCAAACGTGACTCGAAGAGTAGTTAGACTAGTTTACTTACCAACCCATTGACTAATACCGATGGTACATTTGAATGACAGGGAAGCCCGGGAAAAGGCTAATAATTTCCTGAAAATGTTCTGTGAACTTTGTATACTTTTCACGGTGTATGAATAAGACTGCTTGCTTAGTGTGGTTAGGATTACCTTCGTTGCGGAGTAGACTGTCATATGCGGCGTGGCATGAGTGGCTGAACCTGACGAGATGACCACAATCCCTCCTTTGCCACGTTTGATCATCTGTGGTAACAGCATGTGAGTCATCTATAGAACAATGAACACAGTCTTAAACAGTGTGTGATTCATCTATAGAATAATGGGCACAGTCTTAAACTGTGATTCATCTATAGAACAATGGGCACAGTCCTAAACAGTGTGTGATTCATCTATTGAATGATGGCAAGAATGCTAGCAGCATGTGAGTCATCTATAGAACAATGGACACAGTCTTAAACAGTGTGTGATTCATCTATAGAACAATGGGCACAGTCCTAAACAGTGTGTGATTCATCTATTGAATGATGGCGAGAATGCTAGCAGCATTTGAGTCATCTATAGAACAATGGACACAGTCTTAAACAGTGTGTGATTCATCTATAGAACAATGGGCACCGTCTTAAACAGTGTGTGATTCATCTATAAAGCAACAGAAAGAGTGGTAGCATCATGAAAGTCATCTAAAGAACAATGGACACAGTGATAACAGCTAGTGATTAATCTATAGAACCATGGCGAGAATGGTAGCAGCACGTGGGTCATTTATATAACAACGGAGACCGTGACAGAAGTGTGCGAATCATCTATAGAACAATGGAAAGAGTGGTAGCAGCATTTGAGTCATTTTTAGACAATGGAAACAATGTTAGAAGCATGTGAGTCATCTATAGAAAAACGAAATTAGTGACCGTAGCGCGTGAATCGTCTATGGAACAATGGAAAGAGTGGTAGCAATATTTGAGTAATCTGTGGCACATTGGAAGCATGTGAGTCATCTATAGAACAATGAAAACGTGGTAGCAGTATGGTAGTCATGTATAGAACAATGAAAACGTGGTAGCAGCAAGCGAGTCATGTATTTTTGTACGCTCAGTAATATTTACAACATTCTTTTTAGCTCCGCTCTTCATCTCATCGTCTTCTCCTTCGCGCCCCCTACCCACTCTGTCTACCTCTTTCTTTCTCTCTCCCTTTCTCTCATTCTCTCTATTTCTATCTCCCTTTCTCTCTCTCTCTCTCTCTCTCTCTCTCTCTCTCTCTCTCTCTCTCTCTCTCTCACTCTATCTCCCTCTCTCCTCTCTGTCATTCTCTCTCTCATTCTCTCTCTCTCTCTATCTCACTATCCCTCTCTCTCTCCTCTGCCATGTCTATCTATTTATCTTTTGGGGTATCCGTGGTGATGTGGTCAAGCCGTTTGCCTCGCGCTGTAAAGGTCCTGGGTTCGTTTAACGTCAATTTCCTTCGTTTCACAAGTTCAGTTATTACGCAGATCTCCAGGGATCGTCGCCGGAGCTACATAGTGGTGCTTTGTGTGAAGCTTTTAGCTGGCGGCTGGCCATTCTGCAGAGATAGATCGGGCCCTATTGGATACATTCCGGCGCAATGAAGCATATCCTTACAACTGTAACCATCTCTACGTTAGCCGCTGAAGATGGTAGCAAGCTAAGATGACACTACCTGGCACCGAAGATGATTCTCCTTCAACTCCTTCAGCCCGTAGCAGTTGTTACTTTAACTACTTAAGTTCTAAAGAGCTCAGCTAGGTACTTAAACTTATGTACAACTCAGGGTAATAAATAGTAATGCTTGGTGTTTCAAATAATAACTAAAGTTCTTGAAACGATAATGTAAGAAACCTACCATTGTGGCTGCTCCGATATTGACATGTATCAACTGCCAAAGCTTCTCGCTACTGATGTTGAGCAACACATCCGGGTAGTCGTACATGACACCAACGTTGTTCACTGGGGAAAAAGGGCAAACGGTGATGCAGTCAAAATTCGATTAACTGTCGCACGTTTAACCGTCAGTTTCTGTTATCCGTCATCGTCTAAAAAATGATGGAATTGTTTCTAGTGTGACGAACATTGAAGAAAAAGAAACTGACGATAATGAAGGAACAGTTCTGAACCAAAAACCAACAACTAGCCACTCAGAAGCAGAAACAATGTCATCGAAGTGCATCGACTGGTTTCAAATACGAGGAAGAAAGTGCAGTACAGACCCTGCGTCTTCGTGCAGATACGGAACATCGCCGCGCAAAAAAAAAAAACTCGAGCCTCAAAGACACAGAAGGAGATGACACATTGTTTTAAAGTAACGCAGGTTTAAATTATTACAAAACGTGTGTGTACTTTAGTTACTACTTCCATACTGAAGCATATAAGGATCGTTTGTAAAACAAATTACAATATGTATATATTATTTAACTTTTAAAGGATTTTTAAAATCATTTTATTTTCATTCGCGTCCCTAGCCCTTAGTGAAGTCACGTTACTGTACATATGCATGAAGAGATTTTTTGTTATCCTTCTTCTTCTTTGTTTATCGGCTGTAAGCTAAGGCGGAAAGTACCGGTTGTTAGTCCATTTAGACTTTGGTTTTGCCTAGACCTGAGTTTTGCGTGTACATCAGTTTTCTGGCTTATGTGCATACAGTTTGTTGTTCCGTGCCGCACAGGCAGATGCACTCCGACTTCGAAGGAAGTCCCCAATTAGCCGACTCGTACGACATGCTTGTTGGGGAGGTAGTGGGTATATTCTTGTTTTGCTCACAATGGGGCCCCGGAACCCACGTGGGGTTACCCGTCTATTCGTTTGTCCGTTACAGCCCTGTTTCGGACATTAATGTTTAATCGTAGTTTGACTGTACTGTCAAAAAGTATGAATAATTTCACCATGGAAAGTTTGTTAATTTATTTGCAGTTAATCCTTATCATTCAGGACGTATGCGAAGAGGTTCTAAATCTAACATATTGTAGTTTCCGTAGTCGGCACTCTACAAGACTAGATAAAGTCAGCTTGTGGGTTGACATAAAGAATAATCGTGAGTTATTTGTCGAACCGCAGCACTGACTGTCATGTTACTCCATTACCAGTATTGGCTAGAAATCAATTCCCACATTTACTCTCAGAAACACACCCCACAGTCCCCACATGTACTCATTGACATACACACACACACACAGCTCTCACGTGTACTCATAGACATACACGCTCACACAGCCCTCAGATGTACTCATAGACACACACACAGCCCTCACATGTAATCATAGACACACATACATACACATCTCCCACATGTACTCATAGACACACACACACACACATAGCCCTCGCATGTACTCATAGACATACACACACACACACACATAGCCCTCGCAAGTACTCATAGACATACACACACACACCCCTCGCATGTACTCATAGACATACACACACACACCCCTCGCATGTACTCATAGACATACACACACACACATAGCCCTCGCATGTACTCATAGACATACACACACACACACACACACACACACACACACACACCCTCGCATGTACTCATAGACATACATACCCAAAAGACCAACGTCCTTATCGGCCAGCTTTTGCTCAATTTTCTTGTACAACTCTGTCTGAGCTTCCGAGGCGAAGTCTGCCACGATGTACTCAACTGTCACGGGGTAGCTGGACTCTGGGGGAGATAGCATGTACACATTACACAACTGTTACATGATAGCGGGACTGTGGGGGAGATAGTATCTACACATTACACAACTGTCACGGGGTAGCGGGACTCTGGGGGAGATAGCATGTACACATTACACAACTGTTACATGATAGCGGGACTCTGGGGGAGATATAATGTACACATTACACAACTGTTACATGATAGCGGGACTCTGGGGGGGGGGGGGGCCGGGGGGGATATAATGTACACATTACACAACTGTTACATATTAGCTGGACTCTGGGGGAGATAGTATGTACACATTACACAACTGTTACATGATAGCGGGACTGTGGGGGAGATAGTATGTAAACATTACACAACTGTCACGGGATAGCTGGACTCTGGGGGAGATAGTATGTACACATTACACGATTATAACATGAAGCTGGATTCTGGGGAAGATAGCATGTACACATTACACAGTTATTTCAGGATAGCTGGCCTCTAGGGAAGATACGATGTACGCATTACACCTTTTTTGCAGGATAGCTGGACTCTGGAGGAAATAGAATGTACTTATTGTACAAATGTTTTACATGCTAGTTGGCCTCTGGGGGAGATAGCATGTACACATCATACAGTTATCAAAGGATATCTGTCTGAGTATCCAGCATGTACCTATCACACAACTATCCTCGGTGAAAAGTGTGCCAATTATATGTTACATCCTTATATTTTTATTTTCTTATATTTACAGCAGGTGTTACCATCTGACAGCTGTAGTCGTCCAAATTATGTTGAGAATTTTCAATATGAAAATTCATAGGATTCCTCGGTCATGCGATGAGAAGATGGGCATTGCAGAACATCGCGATGACTAGAAATATCAGCACTAGAAGAGGCTGAGACGGATCAGTAAAAACCATGCCTGATGGTCTGAGAAGATGGGCATTGCAGAACATCGCGATGACTAGAAATATCAGCACTAGAAGAGGCTGAGACGGATCAGTAAAAACCATGCCTGATGGTCTGAGAAGATGGGCATTGCAGAACATCGCGATGACTAGAAATATCAGCACTAGAAGAGGCTGAGACGGATCAGTAAAAAACCATGCCTGATTGTCTGAGAAGATGGGCATTGCAGAACATCGCGATGACTAGAAATATCAGCACTAGAAGAGGCTGAGACGGATCAGTAAAACCATGCCTGATGGTCTGAGAAGATGGGCATTGCAGAACATCGCGATGACTAGAAATATCAGCACTAGAAGAGGCTGAGACGGATCAGTAAAAACCATGCCTGATGGTCTGAGAAGATGGGCATTGCAGAACATCGCGATGACTAGAAATATCAGCACTAGAAGAGGCTGAGACGGATCAGTAAAAACCATGCCTGATGATCTGAGAAGATGGGCATTGCAGAACATCGCGATGACTAGAAATATCAGCACTAGAAGAGGCTGAGACGGATCAGTAAAAACCATGCCTGATGATCTGAGAAGATGGGCATTGCAGAACATCGCGATGACTAGAAATATCAGCACTAGAAGAGGCTGAGACGGATCAGTAAAAACCATGCCTGATGGTCTGAGAAGATGACATGTGGAAGATCATCAGTGGAATTGATTCCGAATACCAATACTAGAAAACTAAACTATTACATCCTTGTCATCTGGGAGGATATGAGCACTTTCGCCGCCTGGTAGGGTGATGATGATGATGACTACGAGTGGATTTGTACTTTTCCCGGCCCTAAAATGGGAAGTTTGTTACTAAAGAATGTGTACTGGGCACCCATGGGAATACCATGGGTGTAGTAGTGTCCATTCATTTACTCACTCTTTAACCTACCCATTCGTTCGCTTACTCGTTAAACCATAGATGTAATCCTTTATCACTTCATTACCTAACTGGTTCACTCACTCTATTCGTTGTCTTTTTTATTCTTAGCCTGCAAACTTCCGGTGGAAATTGTTTGTTTGTCTGCCTCCACTCTCTTCACTCACTTCCAAACGACATTTAGCTTCTAATGCATCAATTTACTATTAAGTGGTGCCCAGAATAAGATATCTGAGAAGGGTGGTCCAAATGATAAGAAGAGACAAAGTTGGCAGTCAGACAAAACGTAAGGATCTTGAAAACCAGGCCTTACAAACTCGAGTGGATCAGTCACAGTAACGATGGCAGGCATGGAGAGCCAAAACTAGGGAACCATACAACCAGGGTGACCCAGGGTTCACTGGGAAGACAACATCCAACAGTATCCGATTGACAGAGCACTGGAATGGGACAAAGCCAAAAAGAAAACTGCAGGCAGAGAAGTCTGGTGATCTCACTGGGCAAACCTCTACACCCTAAGATGGAAGAGGATCGTCTAAGTAAAAAGTAAACTAAAGTAAAGTAGAGCACAGCCAACCAGTCAGTCTCTCTGTTCGTTTCCCAACACACCTGCATGCCCTGGAGAAAATATCCAAAGGATGCTTACTACCCTGGACTTCTGAAGCAATGCGTGCCACCATTCTCAGTATACTCTGCGAATCGGTCACAATCACAACATGCGGGTGCAGATGATTCTCAGGCCAACAAGGGGCCGCCTCTACCTTCATTCTCAAACTAGATGGAGTGATATATTATGACATGTTTTGTTGCGCTAAGGGTCATCCATTGGCTGTTGCTATGAGACCCCATGTACTTCTACTGCCTCTCAACACAGAGCAATCGGTGTGGATAATCACATCAACTGGGTGGGATTTTGTAAGATGACGTTTGGTTCCTCGCCTCTCAAGCAGACGCACTCAGACATCAGAGGAAAAACCTCTAACAAGTCGACTCCTACGACATGCTTGTTAGGGGCACGGTTGGCCTACTTTTTGTTCCTCCAAAATGGTGCCCCGGAACCGACACTTATACTTTCATATCCTGCTGTAAACCCTATTTCCCCCACTCACCAATGTCAGCTTTAGCTGCTTTAAGTTTGCTTTCATTGCGACTGAGCAAGACTATGTTGAGACCCCTTGCAGCCAGTTCGTAAGCGTATGCGTGGCCCACTCCTTCACTGCCGCCCGTGACCACTGAAGTGTAAGAGAAATATATGTTACAGCAACAATGTGAAATGCAAGGGAGATGGAACAACAGCAAGGAGTAAACAGGTTCAAAACGGTTCCCATAGAATAGACAAACGCAAAAACACGTGACGTGTTACACACGAGCAAAAGTAGAGTAAAATATTGAGCAGTGTTTAAATTTCATGCAAACAAAAACAATCACAATACAGTGGTCGTAGATGCATGACAAGGGAACAGGTTAAATGAATAAGGTCGAATAACATTTAGTGTTACTGTTGGCATATTTCCATCTCAAGTCGACGGGGTTATTTTGTTCTATAGGCAGGCATGGTAATCACAACACATGGCGATGGCGATTGTGATTAGCAAAACCTGCTCTCGTTAAAAGGAGTCTTGCATTGCATGGGATTTCAGGATCGTTGTTGCCATAAAATGTATTTTACGTGCTTTATTTTTGGATCATCAGATGTTAGTCTATCTCCAATAATTTTCTTCTTTACTCCTACTTCCAAATCTTCCCCCTCCTCATGCAACAAAGTTCATGGCTTATGTTATCACAAATCAATCTCAACATATGTGTCATTCATGTCCCATTTGCACACACCTTTTTGACAGGGCCGTGTCGTATTATAATACCAGGATTGCTGCCCGTAGGAATAACACCCCAAGAACGAGAATCAAACAGGAACAAAGCCCAGAAACACCATTCAGCTGTGCCTTCTTTTTCGTCTCACTGATACCAGGTTGTAGCCCACTTTCGTGGTTTACTTTTTCTGTCTTTCTTTTTTTTTAATGTCTTGCATTTCTAATGTTGTTAAGGTGGCGGATTAGTTGTTAATCTTTTTGCATGTTTCAGCTACATCATTTATACTTCTCTTTCTTCGTCTTCCCCTTGCCTTCCTCTCAGATGTTCTGCTGTCAACAGTCTTATTTCTAGTAACCTGAAGTCCAGTGTTGGGATGTGGGTGAATACTTTATAAATATCGTTAAGTAAAAGTGACTTACCGGCCCAAGGACCATATTTCTCCACCCACTTGTCACTGCGTTGACCAATCAAATGCATTTGAATCGCCTCAACAATTCTAGAGGTGCACCTGGACACTTTGTAGGCCACATAGATCATCCCGACGATTGCTAGAACATTCCGAAAATATGCAAACAAATAACTTGCTTCCCGTGCAATTTCTTCTCCTAGCAGTGTAACACTGTCAGTTATCGACATCGAATAAATACCCATTGCTGTTGGATTGGTGATTCTCAGAACCAAGAACGCCCAGATTAGGGCATCCAACGACACGACCTGGGGACAGTATCAATACAACAGAACTGTCTATGATTGGCTTAAGAACAAATTAAAAATGCATATAAAACACGATGAATGTAAGCAACGTGATTATTTTAGACCTTCATTATTCCTTACTTACGTCCTTTTCAGGACGTAATTTTTTCTTATTTGAAGCCCCACTCTGGCTTTTGCCAGGGGCCGCAATATAGGCAGGCCATCAATATGGCCAATTGTCTGAACGCGGTTTCTGGGACCTCTCCACGGCGATCCTCATCCGCATGGTGGCACTTTGTGTCATCGGGTGTTTATCGCTTGTGTGATGTCCTGGTGGGGTAGAAAGTCAGTCAGTCAGTCAGCAACGTGATATTACTACACTCGCCATATTTTACAAGCCTAAATTTGAATTAACGATATTCTACATGCATAGACCTATAGGTCGCTGCTGCCTTATTTGTTACTTTTAAGGCGGGTTAGGAGAGAGGACGTTGAGCCTGAAGATTTAGGGCCGCATATGATGACTTTTACATCTACGACTACTATTATAACAAGAACAACTACAACTAATGCCACCACCACAACAACAACAACTACCACTACTACTATCATAACAAGAACAACTACAACTAATACTCCTACCACCACCGCCACCGCCACCACAACAACAACTACTACTACTAAGTATACAACTACTAATACTACTACCGCAATAAAATAATAACAACAAGTACTACTACTACTACTACTACTTCTACTACTACTACTACTACCACTAGTACTACTACTACTACTACTACTACTACTACTACTACTACTACTACTACTACTACTACTACTTCTTTTTCTTCTTATACAATAACAACTTAAACAGCAACAACTACTACTACAACGGTAACAACAAACAACATCTACAACTTCAAAAAAGGAATAATAAAAAAAATTATAACTCCTGCTTCTACTACTAACACAAAAACAGCAACAACAACCACTACTACAATAATAACTACTACAACTGTTGCTACTACTATTCACTTATCAGAACTGTATCAAGAACATTGACTGTAAACATTATATATAATTGTTGCACTTCTTTAGGACCGTGCCTTCGTTCCATAAGTAAATCAAGAGAATCATCCAGCACTCTGTTCTACTACTACAACCATCAACACCACTACTACTACAACCATCAATAACACTACTACTACAACCATCAACAACACCACTACTACAACCATCAACAACACTACTACTACAATCATCAATAACACTACTACTACAACCATCAATAACACTACCAATACTACCATCAATAACACTACTACTACAACCACCAATAACACTACTACTACAACCATCAATAACACTACTACTACAACCATCAATAACACTACTACTACAACCATCAATAACACTACTACTACAACCATCAATAACACTACTACTACAACCATCAATAACACTACTACTACAACCATCAATAACACTACTACAACAACCATCAATAACACTACTACTACAACCATCAATAACACTACTACTACAACCATCAACACCACTACTACTACAACTATCAATTACACTACTACTACAACCATTAATAACACTACTACTACAACCATCAATAACACTACTACTACAACCATCAATAACACTACTACTACAACCAACCATCAATAACACTACTACTACAACCATCAATAACACTACTACTACAACCATCAATAACACTACTACTACAACCATCAATAACACTACTACTACAACCATCAATAACACTACTACTACAACCATCAATAACACTACTACTACAACCATCAACACCACTACTACTACAACCATCAATAACACTACTACTACAACCATCAACACCACTACTACTACAACCATCAATAACACTACTACTACAACCATCAACAACACCACTACTACAACCATCAACAACACTACTACTACAATCATCAATAACACTACTACTACAACCATCAATAACACTACCAATACTACCATCAATAACACTACTACTACAACCACCAATAACACTACTACTACAACCATCAATAACACTACTACTACAACCATCAATAACACTACTACTACAACCATCAATAACACTACTACTACAACCATCAATAACACTACTACTACAACCATCAATAACACTACTACTACAACCATCAATAACACTACTACAACAACCATCAATAACACTACTACTACAACCATCAATAACACTACTACTACAACCATCAACACCACTACTACTACAACTATCAATTACACTACTACTACAACCATTAATAACACTACTACTACAACCATCAATAACACTACTACTACAACCATCAATAACACTACTACTACAACCATCAATAACACTACTACTACAACCATCAATAACACTACTACTACAACCATCAATAACACTACTACTACAACCATCAATAACACTACTACTACAACCATCAACACCACTACTACTACAACCATCAATAACACTACTACTACAACCATCAATAACACTACTACTACAACCATCAATAACACTACTACTACAACCATCAATAACACTACTACTACAACCATCAATAACACTACTACTACAACCATCAATAACACTACTACTACAACCATCAATAACACTACTACTACAACCATCAACACCACTACTACTACAACCATCAATAACACTACTACTACAACCATCAATAACACTACTACTACAACCATCAATAACACTACTACTACAACCATCAATAACACTACTACTACAACCATCAATAACACTACTACTACAACCATCAATAACACTACTACTACAACCATCAATAACACTACTACTACAACCATCAATAACACTACTACTACAACCATCAACAACACTACTACTACAACCATCAACACCACTACTACTACAACCATCAATAACACTACTACTACTACCATCAATAACACTACTACTACAACCATCAATAACACTACTACTACAACCATCAATAACACTACTACTACAACCATCAATAACACTACTACTACAACCATCAATAACACTACTACTACAACCATCAATAACACTACTACTACAACCATCAATAACACTACTACTACAACCATCAATAACACTACTACTACAACCATCAATAACACTACTACTACAACCATCAATAACACTACTACTACAACCATCAATAACACTACTACTACAACCATCAATAACACTACTACTACAACCATCAATAACACTACTACTACAACCATCAATAACACTACTACTACAACCATCAATAACACTACTACTACAACCATCAATAACACTACTACTACAACCATCAATAACACTACTACTACAACCATCAATAACACTACTACTACAACCATCAATAACACTACTACTACAACCATCAATAACACTACTACAACAACCATCAATAACACTACTACTACAACCATTAATAACACTACTACTACAACCATCAACACCACTACTACTACAACCATCAATTACACTACTACTACAACCATCAATAACACTACTACTACAACCATCAATAACACTACTACTACAACCATCAATAACACTACTACTACAACCATCAATAACACTACTACTACAACCATCAATAACACTACTACTACAACCATCAATAACACTACTACTACAACCATCAATAACACTACTACTACAACCATCAACACCACTACTACTACAACCATCAATAACACTACTACTACAACCATCAATAACACTACTACTACAACCATCAATAACACTACTACTACAACCATCAATAACACTACTACTACAACCATCAATAACACTACTACTACAACCATCAATAACACTACTACTACAACCATCAATAACACTACTACTACTACCATCAATAACACTACTACTACAACCATCAATAACACTACTACTACAACCACCAATAACACTACTACTACAACCATCAATAACACTACTACTACAACCATCAATAACACTACTACTACAACCATCAATAACACTACTACAACAACCATCAATAACACTACTACTACAACCATCAACACCACTACTACTACAACCATCAACACCACTACTACTACAACCATCAACAACACCACTACTACAACCATCAACACCACTACTACTACAACCATCAACACCACTGTTACTACAACTTAGCTTTTACTACAACCAACAACACCACTACTACTACAACAATCAACACCACTACTACTACAACCATCAACACCACTGTTACTACAACTTAGCTAATTCTGCTGCTGCTGCTACTACCAACATACCATAAATAAAAAGATCAACTACTACTGTGTCTACTACTAGTGATGTTACAGAACTGTTTCTACAAATACTACAACAATCACTACCACCACCATCATCAACAGCAGCAGCTGAAGTCGTATTGGTACTAGTAGCAGTGGTATTAGTACCACAGCTGCCTTGATTACTACAGCTTCTGCTGCTATCACTACTATTGCTATCATGATTAATAGCATAGCCTGTTTTCTTCAACTACTGCTACCTTCTAGAACGTTACTACCACGAGAGCGAACACTACTATTCCTACTACCACCACAACTACTTCTATCAGCACAGCTACCACTAATACTACAATAACATCAAAAATGATAATGAGCAACGTAATCAGGTAATAACACTTCTAGCTTTATATGAAACGGGTCACTCCATAGTTGTGCCAAGGAAACAACAGAGAATTTCCATCACTGTCCCTAGTGAAAAAATGAAACTGACATAGGCTGCAGTCCTACCAAATCCACCATCATAATCGTGTATTAAATGCATAAGGCAACAGTCAGAAGTGCAGAAACGAAATTCAACGAAAAGTAACAACAGTACCAGTAATTAATATCCAGTGCCACTATTGGTACTGTATATGTCCCACACTTTACATAGATCGGGGAAAAATAGAATCACATTCCAAATCTGT